TCCAATCCCTCTGTCTTTCGCCTCGTGCTACAATCTTTCGCGAACAAATTCGAAGATCCCCACCTACGCAATCTAGTTACCATTATTCTGCCGAAGCAAAATATGCAAGAAGACAAGAAGTGAAGTAACGTCAGCTAATAAATTGGAGATGATGCGCACATATGAACTACATGGCGACCATGGCCCCTTTAACAGGCTTTCTTACAGCTAAGTCTCTAGTGTATGGGGACATATTAGTTCACTCCGAAAGTTCTATAGGTTTTTTCAACCTATCACAAATACTATGAAAAGACAGGCAAACGATTTAAAACTATCGACGCAGCTTTTCTTTCTATTTGTATTGCCCAAGATGGGAACGGTAAAAACCATGAATTTGAAATTTCGGCGATTATTGCCAACCACAAGAGTAACCAGCACAAAAACATGACTGCCAAAAAGAGGAAGGCTGCGTCGGATAGTATTTGAACCGTTTGCCTGCCTTCATTCCACGAACTTTTACGATAAGTTGAAAAAAAACGGAGAGAACTTTCGGACGACCTTAGGTGGTGTAGATTCTCTTTGACTAATTATAGGTTGGTGCAAAAGTAATGTCCTTTTTCTAGGCCTGCTTTCAAAACAACTTTTCCCTTCAGAATTTATTTTTCGGTGTAGATTCTGCATATCATCGGAAAGCCTTCTTCACGTAGTTTTCAGTATTGGTGAAATTAAGCTTCTATCTCATGTGTGAGAACATTACCAGCATCTCGCACTGCTGCACTCAAAATCGAAATTTTGTTGCTTAAACTTCCTTGGTAACAATTCAGGGCAAATGAACGAATTCTTTTAAAAACATAGCATCTGTAGGGGTTGGTTATTGTTTACCCACTGCATGTTAAAGTAGTTTTTACAAAAATATTTGGAATGAGAAATCGACGCCCTCAAGATGAATACTTGCTGTTGGCATTCTGCGGGTCAAAAATTTCCCATGATTAAGGCAATCGCCAAAGCTTCGCTCATTTCTGTAAGCTTGAGATTAGGGGATCTTAAATACAATTTTTGCAGAGAAACCCTGCTATAGGGTGCATAAAGATTTTCGAATTTTTATAATTTAGGACTTTTAAGCCTACCACAAACAGGCTCAAAAAGGGGACATTTTTGAAATTCTATCTTTTCGTTCCACACCACCATTTCGTTAAGGTGTTTTCTGTACATACATGGACTACTGGCTTGCGGCTACAAAATGAGCTGATAATCAGCTATAGGAATAAAACTTGAAAGGAGTTGTATTTTAAAAGACGAGGTCTTCAAAAGAGGCATGGTTTTCTTCCCGTCTGCACTATCAAAACAGGTGTGCGTAAGTTACAAAATGCTCGCTGCTTCTAATGGTCTTGACTATATTGAAAAATATGAGAACTGAACAAAGCTATAACTCTTCAATTTTTTACAATCATTAAATACCTTTGGATTTCTCTTGAAATTTAGAATCAGTTTCGTTCAGAACGAACAATCAAAAGTGTACCTCTAATCTCTCACAGCCCTACTCTAGAGTTTTCCGAAAGGAGACTTGAGAGCACTGTTTTGCAAAATTTTGAGAACAGCAAGGCCTTGTTTTGTCTTCACTTTGTCCTCACGCAGCGTACAGTAATTTTGGTTCGAATTTTCATATTTGCAGGCAGTCTTCCATTGGCCCAAAAATCATGAACTCGTCTTGGGATGAAACTCAGAGTGGATGGCCTTGACAGCGGCATAAAAGCATTTCCCCTCCCGAGACCATTTTCTGCTTCAAGAAAAGAATGTCCTTCTCCACTCAAAAACAGTACATTCAGGGCCTAGCAGAGGGTGGCGAATGGACATCAGTAAAACGAGTTCGCCTTTGCGGCTATCGATTTTCACGATTTCTCACTTGATCTCGCCAGCTGCGCGGGTTGTTCGATTGAAGCGCGCTTTCTTCCTCCAAAAAACCAGCGTCGTTGCTATTCTCTATCCTAACAAGGAGGAAAGGAGGAGTTTTGAAACCAAAATGTTACTATATACCAAACTTTAGGTGTAAAACGGATTTTGTAGAAATTTCAAAAAAACTTATGCGAATTGGAAGCTTTGCCTACCTCAGGTGGGCATTAGGTGACCAATTGCCCACCTAATTTGAAAAAAAGTTAGGTACGCTCTCCACCATAAATTTTTCATAATTTTTCGTGCTTTGTTCCTAGGCCTACTGCGCGTATACACACCAAGTCTCGCACGATTTCATCTTCTCTGCGTTGCAAGCGAGCCAGTTTTCGAATTTTTTCTTAGCGGAGAGTTTTCAGAAAAAAGCGTGCCACAACCTTCAGTTATATACTTCTCAATGAAAATTTTCACTAAACTCCTGCAAGCTCATGTGCATGTAAGCCCGGAAATCGCATTTTCTTGGTTTTCGTCTCTAGTTGAATGCTTTTTTTGCTTACTTATGATAATAAGCATCCATGTTCGACTATCCATAAATCTTGGCATGGTTGTAATCTTCTCGTTAGTTGCTTGAGAGTAGTCCAAGATTGGTACAGAACTTTATCGCACAGAATACAGACTAACGTTTCGGCAAACTCTTTTAGAGTCCAAAAAGTAGAAGACACATATCATTCATTCTCTGACTAAGAGACGCGAGCACGCTTTGCGTACATTACATTAACAAGTCCATGAATGAGCAGGGTCGAGCAAGAGATGTGGCATACAGGCGCCGAATGCGACCCCCCCTCCCGCCCAGCATTATCGTTTGCCTTCCGTAGGCATGACATAAGGGCTCTATCACGCATAATTAGGCACATGTTCGTAATTATAATGTCGAATAACCACCGTGGGCCAAGTTTTAGTAAATTCTGAGGATTCCCAATATTGGACCGCCTAAGTGAAGTAATTATTCTCAAACATGATTAACTTATTTCAAAAGTGAATTAGCTAACTCTTCTGTACTCAGTACAAAGCATCTCTCCCTATCTACCGATATCTGAATCGTGCTTCCAAAAACATCAAACTATGGAATTAGCAGCAGGCCAAAATTTCGACTATCCCATTTTTCGCTTCCAATTGCTGCGCTTTCACTAACTTTTACTCAGAGCAAAGAAGATGAATCAGGCCCAAATTACTCCCATGAAAACTGCAAGGCTCAGTCTGTCAAACTATATGTATTTTGTTCGCTAAAATTCTTTTCGAAGACAAATTAATGGGGTATGGCACAACCCCTGAAAAGCTGTGGCGGCGACAGCTTTTTAGGGGTTGTCACAGCTCATCAACTTACCTTCAAAGCATTCAAATCTCTGTCTTTATTTAAGGTTGATACTACTAGACCTTCTTCTGCACACAGCACGAATTTCATTCAAAGTCGTTTTTTTTTAGGGAAAAATATAGTCATTTTTCCTTAGCTAAGCAATGGAAAACACTGCGAAAATATTGGATTACGGTAATATGGCAATGGAAAACAATGCGAAAATATTGGATTACGGTAATATGCTATGTCTGCGCTACTACGTAAAATCGCGAGGGAAGAAGGCAAGAACAAGAGTATATTCGATAGCCTAATCCTCGTAACTTTCACAAAGTAAGCCTGATTGTTCTTCTTTTCTTTGAGAAATTAAAAGCGAAAAATGGAACAAATTCCACAGTCTCGTTCCACATAACATGCCATGCACACATAAAGGCCCTTGCCACCAGCCTATTTAGAAATTTACTTGACACCTGCGACTCGACTACTCTCAACCATCGACAGTTGGGGCATGTACTTATAATTAACTTAGCTAGCATCGTGCCAGCCCTCTGACAGATCTATCCCACTAGGCTTGATTATAAAATACGCACAAACATTGACAAGATATTCCCGGAGCCCCAACCACGCTGAAACTTACTGTATCAATACAAATCACACATGTAAAATGCCCACCATTTATCCACACAATTCCCTAAACTCAAACACAAGGGTAGAGCACAACCAGCCAGATGTTAACCTAGGGCCCACAATATCGGAAACCACCCGTAGCGGTGTCGCCGACCTGTGCCAGGCGCGAACGCACACGGGGTTACCTCGTCTGCGGGGTTGTCTGTCCTCTATGGCGTGTTGGATGTAGATGACGTGTGAGTTGGGGACGGTGCTGCATCGACCGACTGGAGTGGAGACGAAACTGAGACGCATCTTCTCACCAGGTAATAACAATGAGTTGGTTTGAAAGCTGCAGTAGTAGCAGTGGGAAGACGGGAGCACCGTGAGAACAGCGTTTCGGGACCCCTTCGCAGCGCGGCGGCGGCCTCCTTCAAAGGAAGTCGCGAATTCGCGACAAATAATGAGACGTAAAACAGCACAAAAGAGCAGCGGTATATCATTTGCAATTTTTAACAAATTCAGGTCCATGCGCTAAAACAGAAACTTCATAATGCTCTATCAGGTGGAAACTAAAACTAGATGACTTAGTCTTCGAGAACGATGATGTAGCACGTAAACAACATTTGTAGTACTCCTGACACTTAGCGGCAGCTGGTGATTCTCTTCAATAGAAACTTTTTGTCTCGTAGTACTGCGACAACATTTATACGTCTTAACGTCAACTTTCAATTCAATTTAAACAATTTTTAGAAATAAACAAGATTTCTTGTGCAATATGGAGACAAAACAACACATACAGTGGCTATTTTTAAAAAGAATGCGTTCATCTGAGCTTGTAGCCTGTCTAGCCCAAAGTAAGTGTATTATCGTTTTGGTTTTGAATGCGGCTGTTACAAATTGTGCAAAATTCGTGTAATCTAGGAGCCGTTCTCAAACACTGTTAGAAAGAGCATCAAAGAAGCGTTCGATGAATGTGCAAAATCTTTCGCGAATTGAACAATTTGAAGGAAAAAAGTTGTTGAAAAAAGAATTCATAAAAACACGCATCATTTTCGCATTAATTTGATATCATGCCCTGTGGTAAACCTTCGAATAAGTCCGACTTCTGAGACTGCCTTACAAAATAAGCAGCCAAAACAAATAGCAATGCTAATATTCAAGAAGAATCAAATCAATGGACTCGAAAAACAGAACTCTAATTCTTTACAAGCAGTCATTCACGTATAGTGAGAAGCAGAACCTCTCCATGCAAGTGAGGTATAGCTCGGTACCACTTCAGCAACAGGTAAATAGATTTCGCTTTGGTGCTGTCCTCGAGTTTTCTAATATTATACTGGACATGTGTCATCTGAGGAAGTTTTTTACACTGATATATTGAAACTGCCACAAACTAACAAAGCGAATTTCCTGAAAATTATACAGTACGCCTTAGACTGTAGTGTAGTCTCAACACAACGAGCAGCAAATGATGCTAGCATAAGCTCTCAATAGACGGCAGATAAAATGCGGATCGTTTGATATAAAATCGTAACGGCAATTCAAAAATCATGGAAAAGCGGGAAACCGCGCGGCGGTCCGGCAAAGACGTGCCTGAAAACAGCTTTAAGTCTCGACCGAGAGACTTCAAGCTGCTTTCAGGCACGTCTTCCTCTTTTTTTTCTTTTCCTCTCTCTCTCTCTTTCTCTCTTTCTCTCTCCTCCTCTCTCCGTCTCGTTATAAATCCGAAAAGTTTGCAAATATTGTAGGCAGACACATTCGCATTCGGCGCGTCATTACAGCTGATGAGCCAAACCTGCCATTATACATTCGGCGTGGAGAAAAAAGTGCTCTATTACTTCTTGTCTGCGAGAACTCCGTTTCTCCGTTTGTTGCAAAGTTTCGGAATTGATTTTAATTGATTTCAATGTTGTTGTAGATTAGAAAGGTATCGGAAACTTGCATACTTGACACCTTTTCACATTTGTTGCAGCAGAGACGAGAAAATTGGCATTCTGAGCGCTTTCTTAGGCACAAGTAGCTGTGGAATTTGAATTAGCTTTTTGTTTTTTTCCACATGGCATTTAAGGTCATGTTGTATGTTGTAAACGAAACAATGATGCCGTGTTCTTGCACTCAGTCCATATGAAGTCGCTCCATTTCGAGCTTTATGTTGATAAAGCTGTCTCATAATGTTTGATCTGAAAATAGCCTTTGTGATAGCCTTTGTGATATCGACCACCATCTTTCCTCTAATACAAAAGATGGTATTCAAAGCACGAACGATAACGCTTTGGTTCTTTGTGCGTGCGAGATCAGGAAAACGCTATGCGAAATGGTTCAGCAACCGGAGCATCTGTAGTTACACTCTCTCATGAATCAATTTAAGTACCCCATTTATCCTTTTTCAGGGTCTTCTCTAGCTCTTACTGTGTGTCTTTAAATCAACGAAACGCCAACATGGCGATAAATGATGAGAGCTCGGAAAATTGCTTCTCTAACGTCTATGCTTTGGTCACTTTTCGTCACTTTCTTTCAATAAACAATCGAAGGCATTCTGTGATTGTTTTTCTGAACGTTCGCGCGTGGCAGTCACTTTGTTGCACATTATGAAATTACAGATGAATTTGAACGGTTTGAAATAGCGATTTTTTTTTGACGCCGTCGAATTCACCTCGTGGGATACCCGTCCAAAGCGACTCCATTTGATTTTGACCCTTCACCGTAGTCCTACCGTAACTCCATCGGATGGCGCTGTCGCACGAGATAAACATCATATTCGTGTTCAGCATACCAAATAACCCCCCTAGACGAAGTTTCAGCGAAATACAGGATTTTCATTTTTTGGGTCAACTGATGTGTAATAGTACCACCGATTTTGTTGTTGAAGATTATCGAGAATATATATATGTTGGTTCCATTGTTGTTGCAAAGCTTAGTTCTTGGGGCGTCTTTATAACTGTACATGTTGCATTTCACAGACTATATGTCTTCCATCACTTACTGTATTCTTGAAAGCTTTTTTCTAACTATTATAAAGTTTTGTTTTACCACTTCGCTTACTAAACATTTTCTAGACTGCTAAAACCCTTTTGATTGTCGCTGCTCGCGCTAATAATGCACATGCAGTCAGATGTCTTAGCCTGGACCAAAACGTCTTGAATGAGACAGATAATGTGAGTTCTTCTATCAAGGATTCCGCTTTACTCATGTAAAGTTTTATCCATTGATTGATCGCAGGAGGGATGGTCTGCTTTACTTAATGCTGCCTATAAAAGACACTTCGATATCGTAAAGATTCTTCTGGAAGCAGGAGATTTGCCAGATATGGTAGGTTTCTTCCCTCATTGAATTGCAGACATGAATTTTCTGTGTTCAGATGGGTTGGAGTCCGCTGATATGAGCTGTCTAAAAATGTCACCCCGAAGTAGTCGATCTTTTGCTGAATTATGGATCAAGTGATAGCGTTTTTTCTTCGCTTTTCATTTGCGACTGTACATACCAGTTTCGTTATGTTTGTTCTTCCTAATGATGTACCTCCGAAGTGTATCTTTGTTGGATAGTTTATCTCATTTGAGGCTCATGTAAACCTTATCGATGAGGAGGACGGCCTAACTCCACTCATCGTACCTTTGGGCAAGGTTTCACCTCGGTTGTTGAGAAACTTCTTGCAGCAGATGCCCAGGTATTTCTGGTCTTGCGTTTCTTTCATCTTTCCGGTATCTTCGATTAATAGGTCAATGCTTGTGATAAATTCGACAGTACCGTTGATATGGGCTGCTAGAAAAGGTCATCTTCCTATTGTGAAAAAAAATGCTGTTCAATGCGGGCGCTGACGTGGATGCTGTAGGAATGGTAGTTCTTTGGAGTTGTGCATGTAATAACCTTTCTCTCGATATCAGCGTTAGTTTAAAGGATTCCTCGACAGCTCTTATGCTAGCAACTAAAGGCAGTTGTCTTGCTGTTGTGAATTTATTGTTAAGTCGAGAACCAAATTGAATGTTGTGGATCAAGTGAGTCTCGGTTTGATTAGAGTAAAGTGTTAAGGTCTAGCTTTATAGCAGAATGGGCTCTCGGCTTTGAGAATAGCTGCGCGAGAAGGCTATGCAGATATTTGCGAGTCTCTCGTAAATTTGCGAGTCTCTCGTAAATTCGGGTGCATTCGTGAATCAGAGCGACAAGTTTGTAAACGTCAACTTTGCAACGGTCTCAGACTGCTGCACTGACCGCAGCTGACTGCAGCAGACTGTAGCAGACTGCATGACCAAAAAATGGGGACCGAAAACCGAAATTTGACTGAGAAGAGTAAGTTGAAACCTCTCAACCTCCTAGGCGTAAATCACGATGTTTAGGCTCAATCGCGATTGTTTTCTCTTTTAAGCAATGCAGCGATCTATGCGGCCGCAGCGGTCAGTGCGGTCAGCTGCAGACTGCTGCAGTCTGCTGCAGTCTGCTGCGGTCAGTGCAGTCTGCTGCAGTCAGTGCGGCAGTATGAAACAACCCAACAAGTCCTTATCATAGGTCATGGTTCTAGGTATGGAAACTGGATTCTGCTGAGCGCTGTGCGCAGCGGAAACGCTAATATCGTTCGTCTTCTTCTTGAAAAGTTTGCAGATGTGAATGCGAGGGTTTCAGTAAGTGTGAACTACAAAATCGGAAAACATCTTGTCGTTTCCCCATTTCAGGAGAATAGGACGGCTCTTCACCTGGTCATTGACGAGTCATTCATGGACATTGTATACATAATTTTGGAGAGGGAACCTTGAGTTAAAAAATAGAGTGGGTTGCATTTAAATTTTTTCGCATTCTTATGAGAAATGTGCTTTCTCTTCCAGTCACTGAGAGGCCTTTAGGACGGTGAAACTCCTCTCATTCGGGCTGTCAAAAGTCGTCACGTAGCACTTTGTGATCTCCTGGTGAAGTCAGGAACAAAAATATCAGCCGCAGAGAGCTAGGAACAGAAGATTGACCCCAATTTTGCTAGGTACGCTCCAACTCATTATTACACTTCCATAACCTGCCTTGCTCTACAATCACCTTTTGTTATCACTGTGAAGTGCGTACCTTTCAGCCATTCCATCAGACTCTCGTTTACTCTATCGACCTAATCGCCTGGGACAAACCCTTACTCTATCGACAATGCGAACCCGCAGCCGATTCTCCCGTTTATATTTGGTCCAATAGATGCGGAATAACAGATGGACACTATGCTGGGTTACGACGTCTACAGTAACGTGCTCGCTGACATAGGTATATCTGCAATCTCGTTTATGTCCATGATTATTATTGATTCAATATGAGAGATCTTTCGTTTGTGAGCCATCCCTTTCCTTGCCTCTTATTGTGGGTTCATATGCGAAATGGGGCTCAGAAAAGTCAATATTGCTTGCAAAGTTTAAGGACTCTATGAATAGCTTTTCTCGCAACTGGCTGGAAGGAGCGCACTTGAGGTGGTACGATTGTGAGAAATCATAATGTTTTCTGATTGATTTGGTGTTCATCCTTTTGTATCTAGCCTCATATTCTTCTACCTCACATTATTTTGTGTAATATTCACTATGACAATCTCATCGCATGTGCTACAGCAGCCACCTGGGTTGATTGTTGTATGGGTCTTGGTGGCTGCCTTCTCGTCTTGCTCGTATCCTCTTATTGTGAGTGAATTATATTTTCCGTTTTAGCAAAGAAAATTTTTCTGTAGGTTTTCTCTATTATGGAAGTAAACTGCGTGGGTGGTCAGCACCAACTCGTGTTGCGAACTCACTTTTGCGTTTCATCTATCGTGTTCGCTTACTGTGGAATGTTGCGAGTCTTTATGCTCCTATGGTATATAGGTGCCAGAGTTAGCGATTTTGTTCAGGTTGGGGTCCTGCGCAGAACTGAGCAAAAGGCGCACGAATCAACGTTTGCTGCCAGCAGCAGACACAATGCAGCAGACGTTAATTCGTGCGCCTTTTGCTCAGTTTTGCGCAGGACCTCAACCTGAACAAAATATTCGCTTACTCTGGCACCTACCTATGCACACTGAGAATGACATTGCTAGCAATCCTGTCAGGTTAGTCCTCCGGAATATGCTCTTCCTTGACATTCAACATACTTCGCATCGATTCCTTCTCTTGCATCGAGATTTCGCCAATTCTCCTTTTGTGAGCAATTCTGACAAGTTCGTCTTACGTAATAAGCGGTTTTTGGTTCATTCTTGCTTTGATCTATTCTCTTTTCGTGATTAGTTTCTTCTTTCGACAATCATGCGGTTGACGCCTATTCGCTGACTACCATCGCTTATCTTCAGTTGGTGGTGAGCAAGCCCACGCTAAGATCGTCGTAATACTCTTTGAATCTGCTGAGACACACTTCGGTGTTCTACCCGTGCGATTCTTTTGCTCGTTACGCCCAGCCTATCGTAAGATCTTAGGCTGCGCTCATACTAATCCTGAAGTTCGGAAACAGTTCAAGCGCAGCGCTCATACTGAGCACTGTGCTGGAACTGTTCCCGAACTTTGGGATCAGTATGAACGCAACCTTAAAGGCAGCGTCCAGGCAAATCTGGACCCATGGGGCTCTCACGTGGAAAGTAATTTTGAGGCCCTAAATAAGACTCTACCCAAGCGGCAGTTGAGATAGTACACTCACGGCTAAGATATTGCTCCAAACTATGCCCCGTGACCGTATTCGCATGAATTCATGGCTCGACACATCAGTTTCGCGTGGATCCTCGCGCGAAAGCGCCACAAATCCATGCGAATACGATCACGGGGCACAGTTTGGAGCCCAATATCTTAGCCGTGAGTGCACTATCTAAGCTGCCGCTTGGGCAGAGGCTTAGGTAGGTGCCAGAGTGAGCGAATATTTTGTTCAAGTTGGGATCCCGCACAGAATTTACGTCACTCACCATGCTGGCGTCAATCCGACGTCCAATTCTGCGGGACCCTAACTTGAACAAAATATTCGCTTACTCTGGCACGTACCTTATTTAGAGCCTCAAGATTAATTTTGACCTGAGTGCCCCATAGGTTCAGATTTGCTTGGACGCTGCCTTCAAAGGCAGTGTCCAAGCAAAAAGTCGATTTCGAGATTTTGTGCTTACCTGGGCCTATTCGCCATGCTGAACGAAAATCAACACTGGAGAACGCGAAAATTGCGAAAAAGGCTCGAAAGGAGGAGGGAAATTGCAGGTGGGCGGGGCTGTTCACATGGTGGTGTCATTCTCCCAGCTTCAGGAGCGATCTTCTCGCTTCCGCTAATCACCTCAACATCACCACCAGCCAACTGCGAAACGCCGACATAATATCGGAACCGAGAAAATCGCTCCTAAAGCTTGGGAGAGTGATGTCACGGTTTGAACGGACCCGCCCACCTTAGATTTCCCTCCTACGTTAGGGCCTTTTTTTGGCGTTTTCTTGCTTTCCATTGTGGTTTATCGGATTCAGCATGGCGAATAGGCCCGGGTAAGCACAAAATCTCAAAATCGACTTTCTGCTTGGACACTGCCTTTAAGAACATGCGAGGGTTCTTTTTTGGATCGAATTTTGCAGCTGGACTTGCGTTGTTATTGTTCTGTTAGTGTGAGTTGCTGTTTGTATACTACTTGCTTCGAGAGTATTTCCGACAATATGGCTAATTAGCGAGAGAGTTACGAGTTCGGGAGGTATGTTTCTTATGGCTTCTACCGCTCTTACTAGGCCGAAAAATACTTGTTGAATTGTAGACTCTTTGTTGTGTCAATTGCCTTCTTGACAATATTTCCTATGCTGATTTCCTATGCTGACTATTCATCCAGTCCATTATATTGTTACGATACGGCTGTACTAATGTCTCGAGAAAACGTGTTAGTGAAGCCGCGCAAGCTGTTCTCCAATTGCGGTTTGAGGAACTAATGCAGAAACTGCAGTCCGAGGTAGGTTTAGCTGGTTTTTGGACTGTCATTTGATTTTTTGAACCCAAATTGACACAATTAGTGGGATATGAATTCTAAAAAAGGTTGTTGTTTGACTTGTAGTTGTAAACGTATTGCTATAGTCTATCGTATGCGAGTCGGAATTGTGTTCATTTACTTCTTCATTTCAGGTTGATATCCTAGCTGACATGATTGGATCTCTAGATGCGTTCAGTAGAAGCCAAACTCGTCTTGTAGTCGTCGTTGATGGCCTCGATAATTGTGGACAGGTTTTGTGTCATTTTTTTCCTCAGTTTGCATTTTTTGCGATGTAACGTTGAAGGAACGCATGGTTTAAACGCTGGATGCTCTCGAGCTCTTACTTTCTGCGCGTAAGCATCGCCCGTTGTTCACCATCATCGCGGTTGATTCACACCACATTATTGTATTGTATCTGCGATAAATCACAATATGCACTCTGCACTCACTGGTGAGTACTATAATTGAGTATAGGATCTTCTGTAATTATTATCACAAACAGACTTTGTGTGTTCCTATCTCACGTTATATAAGAAGTATGACATCTTATCTTTTGAGGTACCGAACTCAACCGAACACACGGGTCATTATTATTTGAAAAACAATAGTCAATACGCCTATTTACCACCAGCTCTCCGTCAGTTGCAGAACAAGCTCAAGGTGAAAAATGCCTCATCGAGTATTAGTTCCATTACTGTCATACAATCGAAGGACAAAAGCGAAGCTCTGGCTGACTGGAAGGAACGCTATCGTCGCCAAGACACTTTCCAGGGGTCTCCATCTGTCTTTGACTGACGGTCGCCAAAGTCGGAAGGTCAATGTTAGCATTAAATGTGTATCGTTTCTTTGTTGTCCCAGTAGAAGTTAGAAAGTGTTACTAACTAACGAGGACACCCACGGTTTATACTTAGGCAACGATTGTTGTCGGAACTCGTGATATCGGTGAATCTTTGCTGAACGACGATTACTTCTCCAACATGAATTCACGAGCCATGCGAAGGATTGTCAGCGCCCTAACACTGACTGGTACTGCGGCTGATCAAATTTCTCAATTTCTACGATTCGAGCCAATCGCATTTATATTGGTAAACTTTCAGGCAAGCTTATGCGAGCTTTTGAGATAGAGTTTTCTTGACCATCGCTTGGTCACTTGGTTTCTTTGCTGGAACAATGGCCAAGCCGGATGTGTTGGCTCGATCAAGCACTTGATATTAGTAATAACAACTTGACGCTGCGTCGGGCTTCATTGACCTGGTTTCCTCAGACATGTTTCTGCTCTGCAGAACGTCATAAGGCATTGTTCAGACCGCGCCGGTACCCATCTGAATCCGCCTTAACTGCCGGAACGTGTCGCAACCCGCCAAATGAGGGAAGGCAAGGAGATTTGCCTGGAAACTGGCGTACTGCACGCTTAGCGCGCGTTTGTGTACTTCGTCAAAAATCACTCGAATTTTATATGCACACTACTCGTTCCGGCGGTTCAGGCGAATTCGGACGGGCACCGGCGCGGTCGAACGATGCGTGAACCATCCCTAGCATTTTTCCTCTTCATGATTTTTGCCGTGCATCTGCTAAGTTTTGTTTCAATCCTGTGATGTCTTTTTGCTATACGATTCTTCCGCGAGTGATTTTGCCAATATCTTTGAATTTCCTCCTATCGCTGTGAAGGTCGCTAATGCATGGCTTTTTCGTTGTTGTACCCGCCTAAACGCTGCCTTTAACTTATTCTCAGAATTTGACCTCTTCTCTAGCTTGTCATTTATGCAGCTTGCATTGTATGCATCGTCGAGTCATTCATAATTTGGTGTGTGATGTGCACACAACGCGTGGGCTGTGAACGTGTGTATATCATCAGAGATATCACATATCCAGTTAAACCGAAAGAGAAGGGAAACATCGAGAATTTATTGGAAATGTCCGGTTCTAATCTTACAAATTCTAATCTTACAAATAGCGCAGGTGAGCAACACGCATGTTAAGTTGAAAATGACTCGAGGATAGCAGATGGCTTACTGTTGTGGCTTATTCGTGGAAGTCGCTGCCCTGCATAGTCATGTAATCGAGCAAGTTGATGTGACTATCTTTGTCATAATGCTTTGTCCTTGCTGACGTTGTAAGCACTGATGATCGTGTCATGATTATATATATATGTACATTGTCATTTGTAAACGATTGGCTGTTAGCCTATCATTTGCAAATGATAACAGTACACGTATATTGACCATGATTCGCTATTCGCGTTCCGCTCAAATTGCAATCACTTCCAGAACATGGTCTTACATTTCCAATAGCTAAGCACATTCTGAGCTTATGTGAAAAGATCTCGAAATTAGCTGAACTCGTGGTTTCAAATCTAACGGAAGACGGCTTTTGCCGCTATGACTCTAGCCCTTCTTTGATAATGCTTATTCTAATGTCACTGGCTACAAAGTGATCACCGTTTGCAACGCTGATTTCGTGCCAGTGGGCGCACCCATGATCTCAGCTCTGAATCGCGGCACGTATTCTGACACGTAGGCCACATGAAAAAAAAACATGTTTGCAATATGCAACACTTAAAACATTCTATCCTGATGTCAATATATTTCTGCATGTTGCTAATGTTTTGCTTGCCGCCAGTCAAAGAACAGATCAAGCGTAGCAGCAACTGTTGGGGGACGGTAAAGGGCCTGACATACATCTCCTGATTTTATCGCCTCGCAATTTTTCTGACAGGGCAACTATCACGAGTCCATTGCATACCGATCATTTTGCATTTTAGTTGTGATACTTTTCTGATGCGAGATGCGAGTATTCTCGATTAACTGTCGTAACGAAATGCAAGAGGTCGGCATGCTCGAAACATTGATATATTGTAAGGATCGTAAGGACATGAATTTGCATGATATGTGTTCAGCACTAATACGGGCGGAATGCAGTAGCGTCAGTGCGGGAATGCGGTATACTCAGACAGTGATGGCGGCGGGCGGTGTGCGGCGGTGTGCGTGTGTTGCGGAGGCTCGCTTCCCCTGCCGCCGGCGGTCAAGTGTCAAGCCCTGCAAGTAGTTGATGCGCTCGCCGGGCAGTGCTCCGCCATTATGGCTCTGCACGCCCGATGAGATAGGTCAAAAGTTTGACTTGAAATGGTTTGGGGATTCGATTACTCAAATATGTTGATGATTCGAAAGAACTTTTAAATTTTCTTATAAATTTGCTCTTATCACTACGATTATTTGAACGCAAACGATTCTAAGCAAATTTGCTCCTATCATTGCGATTATTCAACAGAAACGACAAGCAAAGATATCGATGATGAAGCATCCGAATTATTACATTGTTTGGCGCGGGTTCGCTTCTGCTTTAATGCCTCGGGTGCAGCTCGTGGTTTCCACCTACATCTGGCTCTGCTAAGTATATTTAGATGCATTTCCGGTAGACTACAAATATATAGCTTGTATGGTTTTTGTAGGTGGACAAATCGCCCATTCTCTCTAGATTTAGAATGCGTTTATGATGAGATTTGGAGGTGTTCGTTCCTCCACCCGCAAAGCGCGGGTGCCGTAGACGAAATGTTCGAGATAGCTATGACATTCAAACGGACCAGTGGCTCTCGATCATTAATTTATGTTTTTCAAATTTTGCTGCCTAATTCGGATTCTCAGTCACGGTTCGGTCACTATACTGCACCCTGAGATTGTCTCCGGTTGTCCGTTTTCGCGAAATTCAAATCTCGCCGCACGCAGCACCATTTTTCTGCAGCAACGATTAGTACGTAGAAGGTATCATCGGTTCGTTGACCACAAGGACTGGACATTACTGCGGAGCACCCGCCGCGAATAAAACGCTTGTCCGAATTTTGTAGTACAAGTCGTGCTCTTGCATTATTTCAGCTTCGCCGCGCCTGGTCCGCGACGTTTGAGCAATCTGTGCGATCAACGAATCGACGATACTATCTTGTTGCGTGCCTCTGCACCTTTTGAGCTGCCTTTGCGCGTGGTTTTAAAGGCAGCGTCCAGGCAAATTTGGACATATGGATCTCACGTGGATAGTAGTTTGGGGGCCCTAACTAAGCCACTGCTCAAGCGGCAACAGATAGTGCTCTAGCGGCTGAGATATTGCCTTCGAAACTGGACCCTAGGATCGTACTTAGCATGGATTCATGGCGGAACCCATCAGTTTCGCGTGGGTCTTCGCGCGAAGCAGATGGATTGCGCCATAATTGCATGCGAATTACGATCCTGGGATCCATTTGGAGGTATAGCCGTTAGTCAGTCACCTGCGCTGCCGCTTGGGCAGTGCCTTACTTAAAGGCAGCGTCCAGGCAGATCTGGAGCTATGGGGCTTTTACGTGGAAAGTACTTTTGGGGCCCTAACTAAGGCACTGCTCAAGCGGCAGCTCAGGTAGTGCTCTAATGGCTGAGATATCCCCCTCGAAACTGGCCCCCGTGAACGTATTTGCATGGATTCATGGCAGTTTCGCGCCAGGATCCACGCTTTGCGCCATGAATCCATGCGAAATACGGTCGCGGGGTCCAGTTTCGAGGAGAATATCTCAGCCGTTAGGGCACTACCTAGCTGCCGGTTGGGCAGTGGCTTAGTTAGTGCCCCAAAAGTACTTCCCACGAAAAATCCCCTTAGGTCCAGATCTGCCTGGACCCTGTCTTTGAAGCATTTACGCCAACGTGGAGTGTGCCAGTGCGACAAGGGCTTTGAAGCTCATTGCGTTGGTATCTAAGGAAAAGCCTCAAGGCACCTACTACTTTTTCTGGTCCTCGTCATTCATGGAATTGATGAGAAACAACGTTGAGATATGTTGTAGGATGCAGATTATCTTGGGAAAATGCAGAAAATCGTGTCATACATGGTGCTTGCGGCTGTGGGCATTTGAATTTTTGTTTATAAGGGCTCTGCGTGGTCGCGAAGGTCGATGAATTTGCGCCCAATGTTCATCCTTCAAACTTTTCCAGTTTATTTCCTCCTAATGAACGCTTTTGTTCTATCAGATTTTAGCTTTCAATCGCCTTAATATATTCTGAGAAGTACGGGTTGTTAAACTGGTTTGAGGCCTTGCATTTGCAACATATCCTGCGCATGCAAGTCGCAAACTCACCTACCTTCGCGATCACGGAGAGTCCTGTATCGTGAGGGCACACGGGCAACTATATAAGCCCAAAAATGGCGAATTTTACAGGTTTTAGGTGAAATTTCGACCGATGACGGGTTACAACAAATTTGAAGTCAAGGATTTGACTTCAAATCCTCCTGCGGAGATAAAGTCAGCTGGATTGCTCGACAAAAAAGGTTAGTATTCGTATTCAGACCGCAGGTGAATTGGGTCAGAAGGTGACAGTTGGGATCGCAAAGCCAGGGGTTGCCTACGTCCCTCCCCATCTTTAAAAAAGTAAGACAGTGCTTATTGATGTCCTGATATGCATTTTAGTCTCTAACAAGAGAAGTTTGAACTTAGGTTAGCCTTTTGACATGGGACACATATATTTGATCAGCATCAAACGCTGGTTTCAAATATGCTGTCCTTAGCTGTGGCACTTTACTCTGAAAGGAGTTATGAGCTTTTTTGCGAAATTGGCTTACTATCCAACATGGGAAGGCTGGTACATGGAAATCTGCGTAAAACCGTACTGGGATACTAAAATAATTTCAGATTGAGTCCTTTGTCAGGCAAGAGACGCAGTAGATTAACATCTAGATGATGATGCCGTAATTGTAGTAATAGGTCAAAGAGCATACTAATTTTGCACAGAATCAATAACTCGCTTTGAAATGCCGCAGCTAGGAACAACATATTTGGAGTCAGCGTCTGAAGCTGATTCCAACTACATATCTCTCTATAATAAAGCGCTAGAGATGACTCATGCATGTAAGATACCCCCCCCCCCCCCTTTCCGCAGGCGAGATGAGACGTAAACTTCTTTGTCGTTATGTGCCGGTGCAGATGCACCGAGCCGTGGCTCATGATGGCAGTCTTAGTTGGTATTGATCGAGAAGCCTAACCAGCAAAGTGACTTGCTAGACAAGCTAAACTGGGAAGGGGGAAGGTTACCCAGCTGTTTTCGTTATGCATTAGATCACAATATCGCAATAGCGAGCAGCAACGCGAGCCGGATAGCTTCCGCTTGCAAGATTTTGCAGTTTTGACATTAATCAAAATACAGAAAGCATATTGGATGAGGTACAAAAATCATTGTGAACTAAAGGAAAGCAAGATGGAGTCTCCAATGCTGCAAATATGAAAAAGATGGTTTGAAATGCCACAAAATTGAGATGAGGGTAGCGTAGAGAAAGTTGATACGAAAGAAGGGGGGGGGGAGGAGAGTGGGATAACTTAGGGAGATTTGCACTTCACCTCCAGCAAAGGCAA